TAGGTGAGGTGTAATTTCACATTTAACGAAAAGTTGAGGGCTAGGAGACCTTTGCCTTATTAAATAATTTTTTGAAAATTTTGGTTGTAATTTGGATTTAATTTTGAGAGATTATGTATGGTCTCAGGGATTCTCATTTTCACCATTTTTGTGTAACTTTATGGTAAATGTATTAATAGGTGTGACTGTAATCGACTTCAGCTAATCAACCGATGAATCTCCTAAAATCTGTAAGGTGTATCTTATGAATTCATAGTGTTGGCCAAATGGGGTTAAGAGAATAGCCGTACTTTGATCATTTATGTACCTGTCCGAAAACACAACATAAATCCATGGTGTGAGACTCCTAAGATGTGCGTAATTGGGCCTGTTGTCCACCCGAGCTAAGGGTTCTGATGTTACATGCTCTACTACTTAGTTAGCAGGATCATTTTGAGACTCAGTAATGTCATTTCAGTTGTGGTCGTTAACGGTCAGTTATGAGAAGGCGAGGGATGCACATTTAGAATAGTATTAAGTGGAAGAAAAGCGAAATGAAGTTGAGTGATAATCAGGAATGCTTTATGTGCAAGATCTCAGCGACGTTTTGCTAGATATGACCAAGTGGTTCCCTTTAGTACCTATGCATCTGATATAATAATAAAGTAATTAAAATATTGCCACTCGTTTAGCAAAAAAACGGATAATAGAGTGCTGACAGTAATAATTGACGGCCTGCAACTAGACACTCTGTCTCAATTTCAGCGGAAATGTCATCTTTAACAGAAGGCATTCGAACAGAATATTTCTGTCATATATTATTATTATTATTATTCCCTTGCGTTACGGGTGGAGCGTAGAGCTTCGGAAAGACACCTCCACTTTGTCCTTTTCAGCTGGGTTCACGATTGCCCATAATCTATCATCTCTTCCTCACACGATCTTCTACATGTCACACACCGACCACCCACTCGTCGCTTCCCATTTGGATGTCATTCGACGGCCTCCTCAATGTGTACCCGATCCATCCCCATTTTCTCCTACATATCTGTTGACAGATCGGCTCTTGGTTGATTTGTTTCCACAGTTTCTTGCTACTTATTCTTTCTGACCGGCTGGCCATTTGATCTTCAGTATGGAGCCAGCGAACGTGGCAACTGTTGATCAAAGTCTGCAGTAGCCTGTTGGAAATCCTTCTGCCGGCCAGATGTCTGACCCGTATAGAAGAACTGATCGACTTTACATTTATGTTAAAAGTGAGAATCTTGTTGTTTATGCTGGCTGAGTGCAGAAGATTTCCAAACTGGTTTCAGGTTGATGAAGGCGTGCATATCTTGTCTTTCAGATTCGGACTGGCTGGCTATCGCTGACATCTTCATCCGTTCCGCTGTCTGTAGTTGAAACGATGCTGGCTTCCTAGATAAGTGAAGGCAGCAAGTAACCTCTGTTAAATCTCTACCTTTGATGGTGATTGATGCTGGTTGTTGTTGTTTCTGTTTTTGTAGGTCGGTTATCTTCGTCACCTCCGTCTTCCCTATGTTCACCTGGAGTCCTGTCTTTTCTGCCTCTTCAACCACCTTGTCGCTTTTCTCCCATAAGTGCTCGAATTTTTGTGACATACCATTTGCGAAATCCAGATCTTCTAGAGTCTTCTCATCAGTGGTCCAGTGTATTCCTGTCTCCTCGCTCCCAAGCACAGTCTGACGCATAATCCGGTCGACCACAATTAAGAATATCATCGTGGGTGATAATAGACAGCCAGCCAGCCTTGTTTCACTCCTGTATTCACTTGGAACGCCTCGCTGAGTGGGTTTCCCGTTGTGAACCACCTGATAGGTGGCATTGTCACATAGCCAACTGTTGAATGAAGTTGATAAAGATTTTGGCACTGCACGCCGTAGTGTTGAAGTAGTTTCCAAATTACTCCTCGGTCAACACTGCCTGGTGAAGGCGTTTTTGATGCTGATGAAATTGAGGTAGAGGTTGAGGTTCGACTGTCACTCTATGCTCTTCACGATGATGATGATGCGTAGAGTTGTAATTCGATCAGCGGTCGGTCGGTCGGTCGGTCGGTTTTCGACATAGAACTTTGCACATATGTGCGGCAGTTCAAGTCGCCACAATCTATGTAGCACGCAAAGCAAGAGAAGGAAGTAGAAGAAATGCATAATATAGACAGTAAACAGAGGTGTGAGACAAAGGAATAGTAATAACGGAGAACAAAAGTTTAATTGGAAATCATAAGTCACAAGGAGTGGATGCATCTGCGCCACTGAGAACGATTTTGAGCCATGTCACCAATTGTTTCCAACCATTGGTTTTTACCATCCCGAGGGCCCCAACCAGGAAGTCTACATCTTCCTACGTGGCTTAGATTAACTGTTGTGGATTTCATTGATTGGTGCCATGTTTTGGTTTGACCGCCGCTAGCTCTTTTCTAGCCTGACCCTATATCAGCTAACATTGCCCGTCGAGGAAGGCGATGACTAGGCATACGTAACACATGTCCTAACCATCTCAGTCGAAGTAATTTCACAGTTTCGTCGATTGATTTCCCCGCCTTACCTAGCACTCGACGCCTAACCTCAATATTGCTCACCTTATTATACCACTTCACGCGGGAGATAGAACGCAGACACCTATGATCGAAGACAGCTAATCTTTTCATGTCTTCTGCTCTCAATGGCCAGGTCTCACAGCCATAAAGGAGGACGGAGCGGACTGTTGAGCAGTACACACGCCCTTTGGTCGATAGTCGGATATCGCGTCTACGCCAGAGACGGCGAAAACTGGCGAATGCGAATCTAGCCCTCTGTATTCGTGCTGAGATTTCGTCGGAGATCAACCCGTTGGGGCTGATGGTACTTCCCAAGTAAGTGAAGCGGTCAACGTGTTCTACCACTTCACTTCCTATTTCTAATCTAGGGGTCGATGAAGTCCAATCCTGCAGCATCATCTTACATTTTATAGGGGCGAATCGCATGCCAAACATGCGGAGATTGTTGCTCAGGGTGTTCAGTAGACTCTGCATTTTGTCAGAGTCCTGTCGATCAGCACATAATTTGCGCTTCTTGAATACAGCCAGCTTGTTCAGGCGGGGTGGCAGAGTTCTGTATGTAGTGGATCTTCCATTCTCTCCAGGATGAGGTGACTGAGTATCTTACTTGGCGTGGACAAGAGCATTATTCCACGCCAGTCAGTTCTTGCACAGGCCTAAGTCGTCCTTCCTCGGCATCTTGACAAGGTAGCCAGCCTTCGTTCCAGTCGGTAGGTACCTTTCCTTCCTTCTTTCCAAACCTTTTGCAATAATGACGTGAGAAGATCTGCGGCAGTCTCTTGGTCCGTTTTCAGTGCATCGAAGGAGGATGGGGCGTTCCGTCTGGTCCTGCTGCCCTCCCGACCAACGTTCAATAGCTTGATTGCATTTAGTATTTCTGCTTTCGTTGGAGGATTGGTGTCGACTCGCAGGAATTTCTGTGAGCGCTGTTGTTGTTGTTGCTGGTGGTGGTGGTGCTATTTCAGGAGAACTTGCATGTGATGCATGATTCGAGAGTCCTTTGAAGTGATCAGCCCGTTGTTTATTTGTTTCTCCTCCTTGGTAATCAGGTTCCCTTGAGCATCTATTATCGGTTTCATCGTCTGGTTATCTGATATAATGTCCTGAAGTTTGTTTTACCTGTGGCCTGCCTGTTCTGCTTCAGTGTCGTTGTGTCGTAGAATTGTCGTTTGTCTTTCTCAGCACTCTTCTTCACTTCTTTAATCAGTGCAGTGTACATTGAACCTAGCTTCTCCTTCTGTTGTGCATGCCTGTATTGAGTCATCTCCTTCACCTTCCTCCTCTCTTCTATTAGCTTCAGGGTAGGTGTCCGTTGAGAGTCATTCCTTGTCCTGTCTCTTCTTTCTTCCTAGAGCAGTTGTGCACGTTTCCTTGACCGCTAGCTTCAGAGAGTTAGTTCCAATGTTCTTCCACACATGTCTCCTCAGCGACGCCACGTAGTGTGTCCAACTTTGCTCTTATATGATCTGTAGTGAGGTCATCCCTTTCGGTTTTGTCCTTCATGTCAAACCCGAATTACAGTGGCCTGTTTCCAGTTGTTTTCATGGATGTTAGCTTCACCTAAAAGGTTCGTTGAACCAGATGATGGTTTGAGTCCACATCTGCTCCCCTCCTCGACTTTGTGTCCAGCAGACTGACTGTGTCTCCACTTTCTTGAGCAACATTGAGCTGAAATCTATCTGGTTTGTGGTGTGTCCGTCAGTCGAAATCCATGTTGCTTTGTGTATATCCTTGTGTTTGTACACGCTGTCTCCGATCACCAAATCATTGAGAGCGCAGTAGTGTGAGAATAATTCTCCCGTCTCATTCATTTGTTCAGGTGAGAGCCTCTCGACCCATGATGAGTTCTCTTCCTGTATTATCTGCTCCCAATTTGACTTGCATTCATATCGCCGATGAGGATTTTGATGTCACCATTTGGAATGTTGTCCATTACTGTTTGTAGTTGTCTGTAGAAATCTTCCTTCTCTTCTTGTTCCGCGTTGATCATAGCACTGTGCGTATTATTGGATGATTGTAACCTTCCTCTCTTCCTTCCTTGCTTTTGAGTTGAATCTTGCTGTCGCAATGCTACAGGAGGAGATTGGTTTCCATTGGTAACAGTATGATGGCCACTCACTGCCTCAGTGTGCTCGTGGTTGTCGTCGGTATGACCGAACCGGAGTAGATTACTGACTCACCAGTTTACTTTTTTGATAGTCCACAACCATTCCATCTGCTCTCGGAGATACCCATAACTTCTAGGCCATATCTTCGGATCTCTGTGATCACCTGGGCAGCCTTCCCAGTCTCGTACATTGTACAAATATTGTAATTCAAAATGTTTGTTTCTGCTTTCACCGGAGGATAACATATCGACTGGCTGACTGGTCTCTCGAAGGCTTTCTCCAGCCTGCTGTGTCATTTTGCCTCTCCAGTTTCAGCGAAGAATAAAATTGGTATCGGCGTTTCTTGGTTTTTTTAAATATATTTTTTGTGCGTTCAGGTTTCTCTAGAAATTCGATAGCTTTTGCGGTGTAGAGTAGATAGCGCCACGCCCACCCCTCCCATTTTTACTTCGAGCTTTGGACTGGCTAGAAAACTGGCAAGCTAGTTAACTAGGCTAGGTTCTTGTTATATATGTGGCCTTAATGTTCAGAAACACCCCAGTTTCCCTTGTACTTACATTTCAAAAGACCCCCTATTAACAGTTTGCTTACTGTCGATTTCTAAATACATCCGTCAGGTTTCAGTTGCTCTCCAACAGATCTTGATATATCCTGATGCAATAAGGGAAGTGTTGAGGTAGTGAATATACCGTATGCAATTTTCATTCCTTAAAAATAGCTGACGATGGTGATCAGCATAGATGCTTAGAAGCATTCAGTGCATTTCCATTTAGATCCAACATACGTCAGATTAGGCTGTCTGTTCATTTTGGGTATGCTGTAGCCAAGCGGGCAGATCAGAATTATACAGACTTTATCGTCTAAGAAGTATGGGTGTTAAATATATACCTAAAGAAATCTAAGGTAGCAGTAAAATCGTAGATGAAAAAAGTGACCTTAATAACCGAATAATGACTATTTGAGCTCAGGTAGATGTGATAATTTGGATTTTCGGTTTAATTGTATTGTCAGCTCTATACGTAATATGACTTTCATCTCTAGCGATGAATATTTATGAGGAAATTGGGATAAATATTTTTAACTAATAAAATTGTTTGTTAAAATGTATCATCTTTCTCAACCATTTTATGATATTCCTTTGAAGAGCGTGATTCTGTCAGTCAACTTATGCGTTTTATTTATTTTTTTTTCAGCCAATGACAAGATATGTCTAGCTACCGTGGTTGGATACGTGCAGTACCTATAATTGGAACAATGATAGTTTCAGCTTATGGTGTTGCGTTTACCTGGGATTACATATTGAAGAAGAAGCAATTATCCTCAGCAGCACCCGATTTAGATGAAGCCTATGTCCTTCAATTTTATAAAGGAGTTTCCGAGTCTACTGGAAAAGAGGAATGGAAGAATAAAAGAGTTTACAGACCATGGGAAGATGAAAATAATACTAAATCATAATCTCGTTTGTAAATATGATGAGAAAATTTGGAATGTATTTTCAGATTTTTGTATAGGAATATAGATAATACTTGATTTATTTACCGCTGTTTTGATGTTTTATACTTTGAGGTGGTCACCTTGGTTTATATGTATTTGTAAATTCTTCAGGCTCGAGAACTTGTGAATGATAGAAATATGCGACACATGTAGCCACTGATGAAATCATAAAGTGTACCATACAGTATTTGTCCCCTCTGAGTACGAACCCTTATTTATCACGCAATATTCAACATAACTTACTGAGACTTCTGGGAACTAGTCAAATTCATTGTACCACAAAAAATGCGAGTTTATGTTTATACTTGGGTTATCTTCAGTTTTCGTTTTTGACCTTATACCCTCACATCAGTGGTGTTGTATTAGTCAGTCAATTTGTAGCTGTACTACATGACACGGTTCCCACTAGAGCAATCTTGTGTTTAATTAATGTAAGGCGTTAAACGATGCATGTGAGTACGCGTTTTCCAGGTATGTGTTATACCAGTTTACAACCTGCTAAGTGACCTCACTTATATGCACTCACCATATGGTTAACTTAAAATTCAAATGTGTAAGCTGAGCTCAAGAGTAAGCGAAATCATTTAATTAATGTATACAGATTATGGGGATCGTATTCTGTAACTTTAACAAATGATGGTCTAGTTTTCTGTGAATGCTTACTTCCAGTATTGATGTGTTACTTTGCCCTAACTCTGTTAATATGGTTTTGGTCAGACAGTTAATGTTTACTTCAACTATTACTATTCAGGAGGTAAACAGGATCCCTGTTTTACCTAACTGGGTTCATGCAGTGAGTATCATTCATCTGGTTTATTGATGGTCATTACGATTATCTTCCTAAGAAGATTAGCTTCAGCAAATTTATTGTGCATAGTCCTGTAAATGGAAACCGAGTAAGACTGAAATAAAGGTTGGGGGAATATAATTAAATCCGTGTTTTTCAAAGTACCATGGGAATACAGAAAAGGCATACCGTGACCATCAAGAACTTTATGCTCATGAATGCAGTCTGTATTTTGCGATTCTGTTTTAGAAGGCTAAGGATATACAGATTTAGGCAAGTTGGTTGTCTAAAGGTTGTGACGTTTGTTGCTTACGTGTAATTCAAAGAAGAATAGTGGCTACAAATCCCAGTAAATGGGAGTTATCATAGGTAATTCTGACATTCACAAGAAACCCGCATTTTGTCCACCTAAATTATATTCTAACCAACAGTTTTCAGATATGCTTATAATTCCTTAGGGTGCAAAACATCACCGTACGCTGTAGACTAGTAGTGTCTGTTTTTCGAAAGAGTTGTTACTTTTAAGCTGTCGGCCAACAGTCTTTCGGAGAAAGCTATAACACTTAGGAAAATTGGCAGGGAGCATGGGAACACCACCAATCAGGCAAGTGACTTTACAAACACTTTAAAGTATGAGAAACACCTGTGATATAAATTGAAATGACATAGGTCAGCAAGTAAAGTTGTTTCCCTTAACGTCACAAGCCATAGACATGCCTATAAAGACCAACTAGTAATATCAATTTGTAAAAAACAACACATGAGATAACATATCTGAAAAAATGATGGATAAATTACGAAACTTGGTTGAGTGGTTTTACTTAAAACGTACAGTGATGAATATAATTCAAGAATAATTATCATTATAACTGTAAGCACTTACAAACAGAAATATTATTCATAAGAGTTGGAGATTTGGGATATGCATGAAGCATATTTTAAAGTTAGGAGTTTGAAGAGAAAGAAGAAAAAAACAATAAAGGTGGATTACACACTGAATTACTGTCTAAGTAAAAGGGCTTAAGGCTACGTTAGTAAAAGGATTGAATCAACCACTTCTGTATGTAGACACAAGTCAGGGTTCTTCTTATGTACGGAAAGAGCTACCGCTGTGGATAGAAGATATAACTGGAAACCCTGTGACCTTGTATGTCACTGAAAGATTTCTCTGTTGATGTAGAATGATGTGCAAGAATAAGGTGCTTGAGAATTAAGCTGTTGGTTCGTCTAATTTCTCCTTTAGACGACCATGTTAGGAGATGTACTTGTACAGGTCTAGGCAATATCCTACTGGTACGTCCTATGTATTTACAGCTACAGGAGTAAGTGAACTAACATATGCACCTGGATGTTGTCAATAGTGATGAATAAGAGGTTGGGTGGAAGTGAGATGTATCAATTGGATGAAAAGTATTTTTCGAACTTTTCCTGATATTGTGCTTCTAAGAATTTTAGCTTTTGTGTCACTAATGAATTTCAATTTACAACCTTGTGTTGTCCCATGTTCTGTGATAAGCATCTCTAGTTAATAGTCAGTTCCAGAAATCGATGGAATACCCCTCCACTTGGAAGTTAATAATACGCCAATTACTTGTACTCAATTGAAAACGCTGATAAATAACCTCACGTAGCCGCAGCTTTCACCATCTCAATACAACTTCAAAATAATGAGAGACTATTTTTGAACACAATGTATACGCTTAAATGTTAATATACGGATGAGTTTGGATTTCTCGTAGTTAATGACTGATTAGTGAACCATGGTAGAACTTTGAACTTGAAATCATCAGTTCGTGTTGCCTTATTTACACATACCTAGTGGGCTGAATTGGCTGACTGAGATTTTAGCGTACTTTTTTTGCATAAAAATGACCTGTTCAGTTCACCATATTCGATATAGTACACGTAGTAAAGAAAAAGAACTATGATGAGGAGAAATGTACATAAGAAAGGATAATTACATGGAGAATTATGAGCATTTGGTGGATTTGAAAGATTACAAAGAGTGAATGAAGTTGCACGATTAAGAACGATTTTTCAGACAAACTACAGTCTCATACTATTGGTTCTTCGCATCCTGACGACCCCAAACAGACCTCCATATATGACTGGCTCAAACCAAATGTCAAAAACCTCATGGATTTATGCCATGTCTTGATTGGACCATCCCTAAATCTCTTCCAGCTTAACAATACATCAGCTAACAGTGCTCAACAAGGAAGACGACAGCTTATTATGGGTGCTAACCGTCTCATCGACACAGCTTTCCGACCTAATTGGTTCCATTTTCTTCCTAACCTAATGCTTAATGCCTAACTTTAGTATTACTCACCATATTATAACAGTTAACAAGGGAGGCAAAAGGCAAACATCTGCGGTCAAAGACAACTAACCTCTCCAGACCTTCCACTTTCAATGACCACTTCTCAAAGCCATAAGGAAGGAGAGGGTGAGCAGTACATATGTCCTTTGGCTGATGACCGAATCTGAAATTACGCCAGAGATGACTCAGGTTAGCAAACGTCACACAGCCTTTTTGTATACGTGCTGAGATTTTGACAGCAACTAGTCCATTAGGTTTGATACAACTTTCCAAATAAGTGGTGGTTAACACGCTCATCCGCCTCACTCCCTATTTAAAGTAAGAGTTGGCGCAGACAAATCCTACAACCTTTTTATACATTTGATAGAGCCGAATTTCCTCTCAAGAATACCAAGATTTCTGCTCAAGGTGTTCGCAAGATTCTGCATTTTTTTCAGCGTCTTCACCTATAAAGACTATATCATCTTCATACTCTAGGTCGATCAGACTGTCACTATGCACCATGTCACTCCCTAAGTTACTTGAATCTATTAGGACCACTCCATTAGTACATCTATAGTTAAAATAAACAAAAAGGAGCATTAGAAATCCCTGAGGCACACCGCTAGTTATCATCACTTCATATGCACAAAAGATATACAATTTCGTTTCAGTAACCAACTTTATAGATAGACTCATGAAGATTAGTCGTAGGAAGTCTTTTGGGAGCCATTCCTGCTGATATATTCACAGGAAATTTAGGAAGAAACGAAATGAGACCTCCAATTGACGAGACTAGTTTTTCTGCACGTTCATGATTTGTAAAGACATGGACCACGCTTACAGATTGTTCCATAGCTTCAATTATGTTCATCGAAAAATTAGTTTCCGAATGGAACATTAACGTGAAAATCTATTTCACTTTCCGGATCTATCCGTGAGAAGACGAGATGATGGCTCGACCGAGGGAGGAATATACTACAAAGATACCTGGATCTGACACCATTGAAAATATTTTAGTTTCTGTCCGATAGAATAAAAACAGTTTATCGTCAGGACGCTGTTTGATAGAACGGCTAGACCATGCTCTGAAAACAGACTGCATGAAGAGTTGGACTTTCTTAAAAAGCAAGTGTCTGAAAACAGATTTTCAAAGAAATTCATAAGATATCTCGGGAGAGATTACAGTAATGAGAAGAACTCCATTACTGTCTAGAAGAAGCCTATTTTCATCCAACTTACCTTTAAAGGAGATGATGTGTGACATCGTATAAACAAGATACTAAGAGTTACCTTTGCTTCATCTTATCGTGTAGATGAATTTGTTTCTGTTTATGACAGTATTTGTGCACTTTGTCAGTCGAAGGTGAACAGGACAAAGCCGAGACACAAATCAACACTGGCGAAGAGGTCAGCGTCGAAAAGCACTGGAACAAATTGAAAACAGTGTGGAGCCAAACATGCATGGAAGTTCTAGGCAGAAAGAAGAGACAGGACAAACAATGGCTCACTACGGACATTTGGAGACTCATAGAAGAGAGAGGGATGGTGAAACAGAAGATTCTCCAGTGCACCGACGAGCAACAAAAACACGATTTGAATGCAAACTACAAGACACTGAACAAAAGAGTAAATAAGAGTGCCAGAGAAGACAAAAGAAAGTACTATGAAACCATGGCAAGTGAGGCAGAACAATCTTCAGGCAAAGGAGACCTCGCAACACTCTACCAAACAACCAGGTACCTATCGGGCAAAAGTTTGACACAAATTAAGCTGGTGAAGGATGACAGTGGAAAGTCACTCACCAAAGAAGTGGAGCAAAGGAAACACTGGGCTGAACTCTTCAAAAGATTCCTAAATCGACCACCACCT